TGTAATTATAAAGAAATTACACATTTTAACAAATAAGGCTGAAGTCAGGGGCTAAGGAGATTTAAAGTATGCAGAATGCATACAGCTACTCTAAGGTTAGCCAGTGAATAACATATTAACACAGGAAAATATGACTTTTATGGTAACTCAACCTAGATGAGAAGAGAAGAGACTGGGTATCAGATTTTCAGATTTGAACAAATCCATGTAAATGTTCATAAGCTGTCATAAGAGTTGCTGTTCTTGCTAGGTTTTCACCCTCCCAAAGCAAGAAAACTATGTTATTACCTGCACAGATGGTAGGTTTTGCTAACGTCATATCCGTATCATTTACTTCTCTAAAGTGTACGTGCATCTGAATGTTGATGTCTCAACCCACTTCAGTCACAGAACTTCCCAATAATACAAGCAAATGAAGATATGCCCTACTATAGGCGTTGCAAAAGTAGAGTTGAGTATGGATTGCATTTCCATCTATCTTCAATACATGCCACATTTTTACAATACCAACGGGAGGAATGTAATACAATCTTAATTTTCAGATGTGATTTCTCATTTTCCTTCAGAAAAATAGCCTTGGGAAATATTTGCACTTGTATGGTTGCTGCTTGCTCAATTAGAGGAATAATTAGGATCCTTTTTAAGCTACAGTTGAACGATATATGCCAGCTTTTCAGAGAGCTTTCTAAAAAACTGCAGACTTTGCTAAGGCCTGGGTTTCCCGGAGCACCCAGTGGGTCACAGCATCAATGACAAGGACCTGGAAAGATTTTGGATGGGAAATCTAGTGCTGACTCGATTGCAGCATCTTCTCCTGAACAGTGTATGAAGGCAAAACAGCCAGTGCCCTGCTGCACGGGCTGCAGAGCGTTTATCTCGTCATTTCTTCTGTGCGCTTTCGAAAGGGGATATTCTGTAAAAAGAAAAACTTTGCTGTTTTCGCTCCTGCTCACTCACTTCCATCTTCTACTCTTTTTTACACTTCGTTTTTATGGGTGTACTTAATTTAGTTACTTAATGATTGAAACTTTTGCTCACAGGCCCTAAACAATAATTATTTTTTATCATGCTCATTCATACATGCCTCCTGCCAGGGTGCCTGAGGTGATGCACAAAGACTTTAGAGAACACTGTGCTAGTTAAACATAACAAAATTAAAAAAAAAATCCAGTGAAATATTCAGAAAGCCATATATGATATTAACAACAGGAAGGCTGCTTTCAAGCACAAGAAATTCCAAGGAAAAATCACTACAAATGCAGAGAGTTTACTGTGAGTTTCTTGCTAACAAATCTTATCAAATCCACTTAACTATAGCAGATGAAACCTTTGTTCATCTCCCTCTAGTCGACATCTTCAAAATACTTTCCACACTTTCTTTTAAAATATTTTGAGATTAACTCTATTTTGTATGCAACCCATAAAATCCATCTTTTTTGACACCTGCAGAGCTATTGTAATATGGTGGTTTCTGGGCATCATCTTTAAAGCAGCTAAACTGACAACATGCCATATAAGTGATGAAAACATTGTTACTCCACTACACAAAAAGGGAATAGATACAGATAGGAGGCTAAGCTTGCAAAGATCAAATAACCCCTATGATAGAGAACCGGGACCCAAGCCTTCCAAGCGCCAGACTGCCACCTTGACTAACCTGCAGTAAATCTTCAGCTGTGGCCAAAAACACTGAAAATTTGGGAATTAAAATGCAGATAAAGAACTCTCAGATCACAAAACATCAGATGTATATATATATCTCATTCTTTCCTTTTCAAGCTATGTGTACAGATGTGTTTGCCAAGTACATGTATACAGATGCTTTTAAACATCCACAGCATTTGCAAAAGCTTAGAAATGTGATAAAAATTTTAACTCACCTGAATTTCTAATGTCTTTTTTTCTGCACAATTCTTACTTCTTATCAGACAAGCTCCCCTAACCTTGAGTTTCAGAGTATCTATGCAGCTACTGAACTGTGTGTAGTCTGCTTGTTAACAATAAATGAAGATGGAAGTTAAGTCACTGCTAATTAAGCTCATAATTAAAAATGGAAGGTCAGACAGTAGATCCCAGGGCTGTCTAAAAATGTAATAGACAAAAGAAAGGACAAACTCGCATTTACTCGTATAGTAATTCAGACCTTATTTGGCAGACTGACCCACTAGAAGACTTCTCTGCATATAGTTCTGAAATTAAATGTTGAAATACCAAATACAAATCATTTGAGTTTAAACAAATTTGTCAAGGACTGTAACAGGCTTTAAACATATGTCTGATTGCTATTTGAAAACAAGAATTGAGTATCATTCATTTGCAAGGCTAAGTCCATAATTTCTTGCTCCTCATTTTATGCCTGGTCTGGAAATCTCTCCAAGGGAGCATTTTTGCGAATTTCTCTCAAAACAGAAATCTTGCAGTCCTGAAGAGGCAATCACTTTATTGGCTTTTTTTCCCCCCCTTCCTGTCCTCCCTGCTTCCCATTGTGAGGTTGGGAAAGTGTGTATAGAGACAAAACTTACAACAGCAGTAATTTGGACAGAGGCCTTCAGGAGGCAGCAAGAAAAGAGCAAAGAGGTTCAGAAGTACCACTCACTAGCACGAGGGAAATGGAGGCTAGCATTGCAGGTTCACACTACTTTTCTGCTAATCTTCATCTCCTTAAGCCCAAAGTTTTGATGCACATCTCAGCCTCGGCACACTGATGCTTCCCAGCACATCGCCCTAGTAGGAAGCAAAGTCCAAGGGAAGACTTTTGTTCTTTCTGAAAAAAAATGTTTCTTGCAAGGCATCTGGACACCTTGATCGCACAGCACTGCAGAAGCCTTTGGGAATGTACAAAGTCTCTTTTAAGAAATTTAGAAATAGAACCAGCATATCAAAGCTACTCTCTGCCGTGCCTCCTACTCTGGCTATTTCACCTTTGTGTGAATCACAGGCAGATCCTGAAACTCACGGCAGGATGGGAAAAAACTTGTAAGAATTGCCAATATCAGAATTCTTATTCCTTCACCAGCAGGCTTTTATCTGACATGCTAATTTAAAAAAATTGCCTTCCAGCAGCTCAGCTTTACTTCAGTGAATGTCTCACCAAGCACTTTCTAATAAATATTACTTAGGTTTTCTGATACACTTGTTTGGCAGTGAAACTGTGGAGGTAAGTAGTACTAGGCTGATTGACACCTAGTTATTCAATCACCCATACTTCTATTCTGCTAGTCAGAGACCACACATGCCAAGTTTGAAGCTGAAACAACTTTTAATAGGCCTTTTAGAAGCAGCTTGGGAAGAAAATTAGGCTTGTAATGAAAGCTTTAACTATGTTGCAGCTACTGCAGCACCTTGTACCAGTTTCTCCCCTGCTGGCAATTTAGCTCCATCAATACTGAGCATCAGAGGACTGTTCTAGCGAGAGAGAGATTACTGAAAGGATGGGAGTTGCTTTCTTAACAGTGGAGGTTTATACAGAGGGATCGGGTAGCTCTCAGCTGGGGAGCAAATTTTCAGCTGTAACTGAATGTTATTGTATTCAGTTGCAACTCGTCAAGTGCCATCTTTAAAATTAGAAGGCAGACTGTGCTCTGAAGTCACCACACAGTACCAAACAGCTCCTTTTACCAAGTGATTAACCTGAGATCTCTTTTCTCACAAGATTCTTAGCAACATATTTCAATCTAATAAAAAAAAGAATCAAAAGCTCTCGCAGATGCTTTAATATCTCATCTTTAAAGACTTCATCTAATAAACCAAAGTTCAGTTCCTGAATCTGTATATTTTTTCTTTTTTCCTTTTTTTGGGGGGTAGATTCTTGACTAAACTTCATTCCACTTTTGTCCTCCTCTGAACTTTGACTTTGGAAGGTGCTCAGTACACAAAAACAGGCCATTTTTGCACCATGAAAGAATGAGAACTTTCAGGAATAGTTGAGAAGGTCACTATTTAAACTTTCCTGATAATGATCTCTGACTCACCAATGTATCAATTGAGTTTAACCTTATTCTGATAATATGGCATGAGAGCTTGTAGCCAGGACTCACAGATACTCTTCAGTAGTTTTCTTGTTACTTTCAGAAATTACTCAGAGTTCTTATATCTACTAATTTCAAAAACTGGTCAAAAATAGGCGATATTTATTTTAAAATGTGTTTGTTTATTATTATTATAGCTTACTCATTCAAAGGATTATGTTACCTGCAAGTAGGTGATAACAAGTTAGCTGGAAATAATGCGAACACCGAACAAATAATAGCTCTCATGAGATGTTTAGAGACTGGGCTTATTGAATATATTCTCATGGGACACGGACTAGTAAGCAGACAGCAGGTGAAAGTAGTCAAAGATGCAAGATAAATTGACTTTGTTACAGGAGCTGTAATTTATCACTGTGATATTGCCAACACAAATGCAGAGAATTATATATAAATTTAATAAAACCACTGCTATATTGCATCTATTATTCTAGAGTCAAATTTGGCTACCTTTTCCTCTTTGAGTAGAACCTTTTTTCTGCAAATAATCCCACTGAATTTGGCCATTTGTATTTTAAAAGACTGTCTGTATTATCTTACATCCTATGTTACCTTGCATGCAAGTAATACTATAAACAACAAGGCATATCGAAATACTCAGAACATAAAATCACACATTGTAGGTGAGAAGTGTAAGGTTATACATTTCCCTAGAGGTAGCAATTCCTCCCAATGTTTAACAAAGAAATGCATGTAGTTGAAGTAGTGAGAACTCTAGTTAAACAAAATAAACACGAGAGATCTATCCCTGAGTAATGCACAACTAAAGTGCCATTGTCCCTTACGTTCACCTGTCAAAACTGTTTGGGAGTTGCAAGAGTGAAGGAGAAAGGCAGGGAGAAAAGCATCCACTGAAAATAACCTGCATATTTTCTTAGAGTTATCTCCTTCTCACAAAAATGAGTGTTTAAATGGATAATACATCTCTGTGAAATCCAGGTTTACAGCTTCCTCTTAAGAAGAGAGTCTTACCTTATAGGATTATCCATCCTCGACACCGTGAGAAAAGCTGCTAAGTTAGCTGTGTAGGACGAGCACACGATAAGGGTGAAGAGCCACCAACTGCCCATCACAATGCGCATAGCCACAGAATTGACAGTGGATTCACTCCCTGCCAGCAAAGAGAGGAAACAGGTCTCAGGAAGGTGATCACCCTTGTGCAGTCTGTTCTGCAGGAACAGTCCCTCCGACTTCCTCGTTTCACCCTTTGTGTAGAAACTAGCTTTTCCCCACAAGCAAAGCATTACTTCTGCTATGACTGCCTTTTTTTTTTTTTACAATAATTTTCTCCCATTAACTTCTTACCCTGGACACTGTGATAGAAAAACATCTTTCAAAACTATTTCCCTCACTCATTACTCAGGACCAAGTTTTCAGAACAGCAATAATATCCAAAAAAAAAAAAAAAAAGTTTGAGGCTAAAATGGGACTAATGTGCAGAAGTTAAATCATTACAGTGTTCAGAATTTAGTTTATGGTCCAGGTTCAATGGATATTTTAAAATTTGCAAAGACACAAAACAGTTCAATAGTTCATGTGTTATCTGTACTGCATTTACATCTATAAATACCTTAGCATTAGTGTCATTGTTTCTTATGCTTTCCTACATTTCAAATGACATGAAGATTTCTCTTCTGAGCAAGCTTCAAACACAGTTGTTTGGACTTTCTTAGAGACCAAACTTTACAGCTAGTACTCGTTATTGCAGTGCATGTTTACAGTAATTTTATTTTACCTTTATTTTCCTTAAACCCACTACAGATGCCATCTCAGTGAGAGGAAGGGCAAAGTTTTTTCAGCTGTATTGCAATTTGGGGTTTCCAGATAAAGCTTGAGGAGCTTACAACCACAATACATAATAAACAAGTTAACAAATGCTCCTTATGCTGGCAATCAACTAAACTTTAGAGAATACTATTAGTACTACAGCATTGAGGTGAAAATTATATGGGCATATTTTGTGAAACATTATGCACAAAAGTAACTTTGTCAATGGTTGTGACACACATGAACTTCAATACGTGTAATTCTACGTCTATAGATAACCTGAGTGTAAAGTTAGCTACAAGGCTATAAGTCATTTTGCTTTTTGGTTCTAAAAAATATTAATTCAATTTTTTTTTAAAAAAAATACCTGAATTATTGGAAAAGGTACTAGTTTCTGAGTAAGAGACACTGTCCCAAACAGCTCTGTAGTTTAATCGAGTGATCTTTTTTACAGAAAAAGTTCTTCTTCTTGTTTAGAAACATTTGAGAGAAGCAGTGTTACAATTCTTCATCAGCTAGGTTAATAAAACATACTACCTTCCTGTACAAGCCTAGTTTTGTTTCCATCTTGAGAGTATTCTGGCCATGTCAAACATACCCTCAACAGCTTTGTCCAAAACAGAAAACTCCTGAATGTGCAATTTGTAACAAACTAGGTACCTTGCTGTACGAAGGCGCCATATACCACCCAAATGGCACTGTGCAGAGTGGAGGAAGCTGAAGGGTTTGGCTGGGAAGCGTTCTGAGCCCTGATGGCCTGTATCCGGTTTAAGACAAATATCAAGACACCAACTATAGGGATGGCTGCAGCAATGCAAGCCCACACCGCAAAGTCAAAAGGAGCAAAGAGAGAGAAGATGTTGATTTTTTCTTCGGGCTTTTTGATCAAGATCCCCACTGAATAGTCCATGTAACGCTTGCTGAAGTCCACAACACTCTCACGTTCTGGTGTGATTGTGATGGCTGAGATTGCTAGGTCAGCTCTCTACAAGAGAAACGTAAGAGGTCAGATTTCTTTCTTTCATGAACTCTGCCAGTGAGAGCCTTAAGGACACACTTTGGTTTTGTTTTAGGCACGTGGTTTCACGTACTTCTTTCTGTTTAGATGAACTAAAATAAAATCAGATTTGTTTTTATCATTCCAACATTAATTATTGAACTAGTTCTAAGCAGAATAGTGAAATGTCACATGCGGAAGTACCTTAGAATGGAAAGAGTCACACTGACTCCTGACTGGAGCGACTACAGCTTATCCAATCTTCTTGCCTCACTCAATTTCCAAAGAATGCCTAAAGCCAAGCCATATTTACCTGGTGCGTTGCAAGGAATAAGAATCACACACAATTGATATTTATTATAGTTTTTATCAACGCTTCTTCTGCTCTATTATTATCCCAAAATTACTAAAATTACTCAAAAAAATCCATATTCTTTTTCCATGCAAATTTTATTTAGTTTGTGTATTCAGTGGCAACTTGTGCATAGCTAGCGTTTGTAACTCTCCCTGGGAAGTTGTCAACTTCCAACGACAGGATTCATATATCAATAGGGGAATATTTTATTTGTTTTTATAATGAATCATATGCATGCTAAAAATAATAACTGGAAGAATGCACCAAAGTTGCAAAGGCAACTTAGCTCTGGAAATTACTTTGACCTCAACATTTAAAGTGAGTAGGTTTTACATTCAGTAGGTTAAGATTATGTGAACTTAAAGATAAAATCATGTTTATTGAATAAAATTTCCAAATCTTCTGGAGAGCAGCAATTAGATTTTTAGTATTTTTATCTTAATAAAAACAGTCTCTTAAAATGTATTTCTGTTTCATATCTCTACATTTTGTTGGGAAAGTCAGGTGAATGAGGTCTGCTTTGAAATCCTTTGGAGTCAGTGGAAAGACCAGTAGCAAAAATACCATTCTAAATACTTTGTTACTTCAAATAAAGCAATTTCCAAATACATTTCACAGGATTTCTCACTAGATTTTCAAATCAATAAAATTCAAAAAGCTTATATCAAGCTAAAGAAAGTCGAATATTCTAATTCCTAGAACCAATTGAGAACTTCCCATATGCACACTTGCTATTGCTTGAATATCTTTTATTTCTTCCTAGACATCTACTTACCAGATATTGATATACCTACTTACTAGGTAATAAGAAAGATTTTACTTTCAGCAATAAATCCATTGCAGAAGGGTGACCTTTTCTGCAAAGGGCAATGACATGAAATATTAATTCTTTTGATTCTCCTTCTTTGATTAACATTTGTCCCATGTCAGATACTGAGAAAACGAACAAAATACATTCTAATTTCATTCTCCTGGAGATTGTAAGCTATGGATTCTCCCATTAATTTCAAAGGTGTCCGATTAACTTACTCCTGATTTGCAAGCCTGTAATTAAGTACAAAAAAATATTTTCTCCTTGTTTTAAGTGAATAAATAACCTTGAAATCAATTTAAACTCTGGTCCTTCAAAACACTTTTTACTAGGGACACACTTCCTGTTTTGGAGTCAAACAGTTGATCATTATCAAATATACTGCCACAAAGAAGTGACCCACAGAAAGTCATACCTACAAAGTAGTAAAGAGATAATGATGAAAAATAACAAGAGCAAGGAAAAATTGAATTTCTTTCTCTACATTTTGCGCTCATTCACCAAATACACACACGTGCCCTCCCTTTTTATCCTGACAGCTATATACATACACACACAGATTTGCGTTCATAATTTATGCTGTTATCAACTGGAATTAAATAGACAGAACGAGGGACTGTAGTTCTTATCCTATATAGAGGATCTTAAAGTGCACAGTTCAGACCACACTCAAAACACATGCTGCTCAGAAGTGTTTGGAACTGAAGATTTGATCCCAATTCAGTATCTAGAATTTGGAATGGAATTAAGAGGAGAATTTCAATGGATCCCTTAAAAAACTTTGATGTCCTACTCTGTTTGAAGAGGATATTTATTAAAGCGGCTTCTCCTTTGTGTACCTTGTTAATGAGTTCTCCAATCATGCCGTTCCAGGAGCTGTTTTGGAGCTGCTGTCCGTATTTACCATCAGGCGCTTGATATATCTCATACTTAAAGCCCAGATTTTTGGCAAGCGCATCTAGGACATCAATGGAAAATCCTTTGTATCGCTTTGGTTGCCCAAGTATATTTTCCGCCACCATCACAAAAGGTTCTTCCTGAGAATAAAATAATACCAAAGTTGATACTTGAAAGAAGTTTGTCATTGTGTTTGCTTAGCAAAAAAAAGTGATGTTTCCCACGCCAACTCTGGACAGCTACAGACAGGCTTATGCAACACTTCCAACCACCCGAAGCAACAGCTGTAAGCCGGGTGGGACACCACGAGGCATTGCAAATGGCATCAGACACCTGTGCTTCAGCAGCTGAAGCGCAGCTCCACAGTTCATGAGAACAGCAAACCCTCCAGAGGAGGATTCATCCCTCTGAGGCAGCTTCCCGCTGCCTGTGAGCTGAACTGCCCTCGAACACCACCTCATCCCATGGAAAACCAAGAGGGCATGGCGCATATCTTAGTGCCCTAACGAACCATCTAGAACCCAGATATGTAAGTTAAGCAAGTGAGTCCTAGAGAGAAACATTACTATCGTGCATCTTAGAGCATACAAGATTTAGAAAGTTATCTTTTACAGACAATGATTAATCTTTTACTCAGGATACCTACTGAAAGAGGTAAAAATGCTGAATTTTGTGATTATTTACAATTTTGAAAACTGAAGGAGCAGTTCTCAGAGGCACTGGTTCTTGGTGTGTTTTCTAAAAGTACATTTTGAGACACCATAATCTGCAAATCATACCAAAGCTCAGGCAGAAAAGCAATCCAATCTTATTTTATTCCCAATTTAGTGTTTACCTGATAGGAGCTCTGTTACCACCCAGGACAGTAACAAACAGTGACCCCAATAGCATAATGATTTTTGGAAAGACTGTATCTTTCTAAAAGACACAGTTTATCTTAACTGAAAGTTATGAGCTTGATGGAGGAAACACTTAATTAAATTTTACAGCCTGCAGTGTACAACAGCCAAGATTAGATTATCATAATTGGTCCATCTGATCTTAAAATCCATGAAACACTAGAAACTGCATAACTGAGGGTGCTGTATCTGAAATTTGTCTCACTCATGCCTTGTCTGGTTCGATGCCCAGTATGAATTTTCATGCAGACAAAAAAAATAAACAAATACACACAGGCTCTACATCTCTGACTGCCGGAAGATTCACATAAACTAATAAAAGGCCATCATCTATCTTCCTTATTTACGTAACTGATTACTAAAACAAGCAGAATTGAAAATAATAGGGAAAAATAGTGAGGGAAGCATCCAAAATATTCAGTATATCGTTTTTACTTTGAGCACTTTGTTTCCTGAACTCAAATAGGATCATACCAAGACAGTCACCACTTTCAGGGTCAATCCTTGTAAGTCACTGCCCAGACGTCGTTCTTGTAGGCTGCCGTTTAGTCCCTTTTCAGAGTCCCATGTTGCCAACTAGAATAGAAAGCACAGTGCGTCTGAAGGACTGTTAGGCAGAAATCCTTTAACATTTACATAAATATTTAACAGTAGCTTGACTGAATCCAGTATTTATAAAGAGAGGATGAGAAGCATTTCTTTTTTTAAGATACAAAATCATAATGAGCGAGATTTAGAGGACAGACATAAACAAGTATTTTGCCCAAATGAATCTTCATCAATGCCTGTCACATAACTGCTCTATTATCTGTAGTATTTGTTCTATTATTTCACTTCAATACGACTTTTCTCTCTGGTAAGTTTATACTGCCACCCTCAACATTGTCTGTGGTCTCACTATCCCATTCTATCTGATTCCCTTCTGCTTTTCAAATCCTTCCCTACTGCTTACCAAAGACCAACTGCTTATCAAAGACCTCCAGCTGCACAATGTTCTTACTACCAATAGTTACAAATCCTTGACACAGGATTTTCTATGGTGTCAAACCGTCTCCTCTTCTATCTTGGAATTTCTTTAGATCCTATCTTAAGTCCTATTCTCTCTCTTCTTGGCCTACTTCTACCTTCCTCTTAAGCTCCAATGATCCTGTATCCTGATGATCAAGTATCTCATAATCTCTGCCAACGCTAGATGCACCTTACTACTTGCAGCCTGATATGTATTTCATAATACCTCCATGAAACATTACATCTAAATATTTTGTTTTTCAATTAAATATATCACTTGAAAATCAATTTTACCACATTTTCTGAAAGGAAGCTTAACAAAAAAGTCAACTAGTCTGGATTATTCTTCATTATTCTATATGGTTTTCAGCTGCTGCAGTGGGACCTTTTGCCTTCAAACATAATCCCTGGTGTCATTTTTCCTGAAGAGCCATAAATAGTATTGAATAAAAACTGTTTCTTTTTTCTCTCTCACTTTTTTATTCTTTCTTTTTCTTTTCAGCTCCACTCTTAAACACCAATACTGCATTTACATCTGTGGAAGCAGTGATGTTAGCTGAAGGCATGCCCCTTAGAAATGCAACATAGGCCAAGATCTGTGAAATGTGGCTTCTTCCTGCCAGAAGCTAATTTCCATGTAACAAGTCAAAACCTTCTTGGAAGAACTTATTTCACTGAAAATGCCTATGGCTAAATGTCCTACATGATTTACTTCTATGACTTCAGTTTTATCCTAAAGCCTCAAAAGTCAAAACAACAAATAAAATGTGATGGGAGAGATCTGCATGGTTTTATTTTTGTTTTCTTTCACTAAACTGATAAACAGGGAACTAGAACAGGAAAAATCAGTGAATATTCAAACATGACAAGTATCAGAGAGGTAAAACTGTTTAAAATTATTCTATAGCCACTGTAAATCTTAAAATCCTGAGAATAACGGTTTGAAGGGCAGATAAGGATAGAATTAAGCTACACCTGGTTTTATCCAGCTGACCCGGAGGGCAGAAGAGGAGAATGACAGAATAGTATTATGCTTTCTAATAAAACTCACCCTGAGAGGTTAGTTTAGAATGGCAAGTGGTCTTTTGCACATAAACGTGCTTGCAGCAACATCAGGTAGATATATAAAGCCAGGTTATTTTTTAATTTCAAAATCAGATGCTTTGTCTGAGTACGGACAATTTTTTCTTATGTTTTTCTGTTGCTGAAAAAATGGACCAATTTTTCAGGTGACATAAATCAATACGGTTCAACGTATGTCAAAGACTGAGCAGACGTGTGTGGTATATGCTGCCTCTGCAAGTGGGGAAGAAGGTTAGTTACACTATCCAAGCTTCTTTCAGCTCTTACATGCCTATGTATGATGCAAGTGTGTGATAAAAATACATGTGCAGTTTTGGCCAGAATGGCTTGTGTCAGCTACAGAAGATGATTAAATCTATTCAAAAATAGGAAATTAAACACATCTCTTTATTACTCTGTCACCTCTGGACTGATATTTCACATTCTTCTCCCATTTTTTTTCCCTTCAACAACTCCATTTGACATTTAACTTTTGAATAACGTTCATTTTGTATTTCATGTTAACAACGTGAATCCTTCAGAGGAGCTGAAAATTTTGTTTAAAAGGAGAAGAGCTAAGATTTCTTTTATATGCAGGAAGGCTAGATGTAAGGAGGAGGGAGTTCATTTCCCTTGAGCACTGAACCCCATAGCATTCTGCATAGAGACATTTTTTTCTAAAATGCAGTGTCTGAACATGCAGATGATGCAAATAAAGTTGACAAACAGAACATGTGGAAAACGTTTTCCAGAAGGAACTTTCCTTTGAATCTTTGTGATGCAGAATACTCCATTTCTTCAGAAGTGTGCCAATTTCGACTTCTACTTCTTGCAGACCAAATTTTGTTTATAGGACTGATGCATTTCCAGATACGTACACCAATTTGTGACAGTTGACCTGTCAAGATCAGTGCGTGAGAAACTAATTTCCAGCACTGTTAAACAAAACGAGCGCTGCTGCTACTTGATAAGACTGTTAGAGCTTCATTCTTTGCAGAAATAGGCTCCAGGTTCCTACCAGACACTGAAGCCAAAGGTTATGCAACAATCATCAGCTGATGTGATACAAGGCTTTTGAATCTGCCTCTGACAAACGACTACTTGCAGTATCAGCACTTGTAGGATATATTCGATAAATTATGGGCTCTGGAAAAGACATTTTTTATGGAAGTCTTTTTTTTTTTTTTTTTTTTATACTCAGGTTACGAGATTATAGGAGTCCAGATTTCAAAAAAGCTACTTTCATAAAGCTTCCCAACTTAAACCTATCTTGCTCCTCTTTCTAAAGCGACCATATTGCTGGCAACCGTATAGTTCTAGCCATAAAACTGATGCTCCATCATCCTCTACAGTCAAACCAGAGGAAACAGACAAAAAGCAAATTTCTTGGAAAATTCTGGCTCCAGACATGTTTCTGATCTTTATCAATGCTTAATGCACTGTTCACCCAGAACATTAAGAAAGAGCTTGTAAAGTAAGAATGACAATTTAAAGGCTGTCTGTAACCTCTACAAACAGTATTTAGCTCCAAACACACAAACAACACACAGGGAAACAACTGCATGGCTAGTCAATCTGGGAATGTCTTATCCATCTGGGATGCCTTATGTCACCTGCTAGGATTTCCTCCTGAAAAAAATGCTGAAAGCCACGAGGGTCTCCAAAGAAACCTTGAGCTTAGCGCAATGTCGGGGTCTCTGCGCTCCCACCAACAAGGCAGAAGTCAAGTTCTGCAAAAGGGTTTCATGACTTTGTTACTGATGTGTCTCTTGTCTGCCTCAGACTTCTCTCAAACTATTCAGTTCCTCAGGGGACATCACACTGAGAAGTCACCAAGAACTAACGTATTTATTACACACCTGCCTCTGTACAAAGCATATGTGTTCATGGTGCACAATAATTACACATTCCACCAGGAACTTGTATTCAGTTCTCCTGTCTCATCTGTGAATGCTAGCAATACTGCACTCATGAGGGTCTGTCTCACACCCAAACAAATGAGAATTAAAACGATCCCAAAAATACAGTAATTATAGCTGAAAGCAGACATTAGCATAAAAAGTGAATATTTAATGTGCATACCACAACAACAAATAGTCATATCTGCAATGTTTACAGTTATAATGGAGCAATAACTGTCAAAATAATGTATGCCATTGGCATGTAACTCCATTTTATGTATGACATCGTCATACTTCTACCTTACCAAAAGCTGCATTTTTTTGTTTGGTGACTATTTGGAGCCAAGATTACTCTGTCCAAGTAAATTAAATTTGGTACTCCCTGCCATGAATCCTGGAGAACTTCTGACAGAGCGATGGAACAGCCCGAAAGAGTGAAGCAAGCAGTTCTTATTGCATGAGACAGGGACCTATCAACCCAAAGGACATTCCCTGTGAATGTGAAACCTGTCCCGTGTATTGAATCAAATAAATCAATCTATGCCATTCATAATCCATCTGGCAATCCTTTCAGATCAAAATATAAACTGAAATAGATTTAATTTCAATGACAGCCTGTGTTTTAAACTTTAAGTCACTGTAACATACAGCAAATATGATATCCTTGTACCAGGTACGACATGTTATAAGTTGGGCCTGCTGACTCCCTTTGCCAGTCTTGCAGCATATAGCCATACTTACTGGAAAGTTTAACCCGTAAAAGAGAATCTTAAACATACTAATTGAAACCCTGTGGCTCAAGAAAATTAAGGGTTAGCAGAGACAAATATGAAATAGAACAGTAGCTAAATTAAATAAAAGGGAGAAAACTGTACATTCACAATCCGTAGAAGGGAGTAAAAGGAACTCTGTTTTAAGCAGAACAATTATTTAAATTTAATACCAGAAGTCTTTTTAAAATGCAGTAAATCAATAACCTAGAGAATTTGCTATCTCCGAGTATCACTCACAGCAAGGTATTAGTAGGATTCACCAACACATTGAATTTTATGTCCTTTTCTAAGGAACTATCAGGAGTTACCAAAACCTTTCCTTTAGTTATGCCTGGAGTTGCTTTGAAAGCATCATTTTTTTTCATTTGAATACAGATCATAAATAAGCAAAACTAAGAAAACAAGAACAATCAATTTGCATAATTACATAAAACAGGATTAGGAACATAAAATGGTATTGGATTTTATACTTCTAAGCAAATACAAAAATTGACTGATGGGATTTCTTTTTTCATAGAATGCTTAAGGTTGGAAGGGACCTCTAGAGGTCATCTAGTCCAACCTCCCTACACACGCAGGGTCACCTAGAGCACGTGGCACAGGGCTGCGTCCAAGCGGGTTTGGAAGATCTCCAGAGAAGGAGACTCCACAACCTCTCTGGGCAGCCTGTTCCAGGGCTCTGTCACCCTCACTGTTAAAAAATTTTTCCTTAAGTTCATGTGGAACTTTTGATCTTCAGTTTGTGGCCATTTCCTCTAGTTCTGTCGGTGGCCACCACTGAAAAGAGGCCAGCACCATCCTCCTCACTCCCTCCCTTGAGGTACTTCTAGAC